TGTTTCCACAACTGGAAAATATCACTGGCTATCTGAGAAGAGATCAGAAAAGTTTTCAGAAGTCAATGATAAACAAAATATGACTTAAGGGTGAAAAGAGTTGATCAAAAGAAGTTACCTCTGAACCATCATCCTGCAGCAACTTAGTATTAGTTATATTTTCCTGGCTTAAATTTTCTGATCCAGAACAGTAAACTAAGACTGGTTATGAGTTTTATAGAAACAATTACAGTTTTGATGGCCTGACATACACCAATAATGTAAAATGCAGAACTTTAGTGCTAGTGTGATCCATGCCTTTGGTTAACTGGGATAGGATGACCTCTCCTAGTGATTGATGAAAAAATGCTCTCTATTCACTTAAAGATCTGCCTTCGTCTCTAAGAAGGCTTAGCTGTGGGCGCAGTCTTGCCAAGCTGAGTTCTTTCTCCTACCTCCCTGCCCTGACCTACGTGAAGGAACAACCTATACAATGGTGTTCAAATCCTTTTAGTCATCCCAGTTGCCCTTTACATGAGTGTTCTCATCGTATTTTTTAAGCAAGGCAAAGACAGCAGAGAAATTTTAAACAATTTGACCGAGTTCACAAAGCTCTTAAATATAAAGGTAGTGTCGGGGTTGTTGAAGTCTACCATCTATGACTTCACTAAGATTTCAATGTAACTGTCGGGCCCGGCGCGGTGGCGCAAGTGGTTAAAGGTCCTCGCCTTGCACGCCCGGGATCCCATATGGGCGCCAGTTCTAATCCCGGCAGCCCCGCTTCCCTTCCAGCTCCCTGCCTGTGGCCTGGGAAAGCAGTCGAGGATGGCCCAAAGCTTTGGGAACCTGCACCCGCGTGGGAGACCCGGAAGAGGCTCCTGGCTTCGGATTGGCATAGTATCAGCCTGTTGCGCTCACTTGGGGAGTGAATCATGGGACAGAAGATCTTCCTCTCTGTCTCTCCTCTCTCTATATCTGCCTTTCCAATGAAAAAATAATAAAAATAAATCTTTAAAATAAAAAAAAAAGATTTCAATGTTGTCTCCACATGTGCGTAAAACAGAATAATCGTGACACATGTGGGGAATGAAATGATTAACATTTGTGCTATGTATATAATCTCTATTATAATCATTAGTATTGACTAGAATTATTGAGTGTTTACTATATGCAAGAGGCTGTGCACCGAAAGCTAATTTCTAATTAGGTTTGACGTTTCCCTGTTGCTGAAGGTTAAGATAAGAGCAGATGGGTTCCATCTCTTATCTTCAAATGATGTATGTTCTCATGATATTTTTTTTATCTAGTCCTTTCATATATAAAAAAAATAAACATTCCAAATGTGAGTGTTTTCCCCAATTACAGAGTAAAACTATAATGAAATAGTTAGGTTGTGTTATGATCGCTGATATGCCAACACAGCAGAAGCAACAATCCCACTTCAGACTTTTATAAACATAACCACCTGTATGGGAATACCAACAGAGGGAGCATTGGTAAAAAGTAAAATATACCAGTCAGAGAATCTGCTGAATGTTCACTTTAGACCCCTTAGCATAAATGCTGTTACTTTTCTAACACTAATGTAATAGAAATTTTTATCTTCAGGAAAAAGTTATAAAAGAAAACTATAAAATGATGACAAACACCAGGTAAGGAATATTGCTTATGATAAATGGATAGTTTATTTAATGATAGCAATAAGATTAATTTGTTCCTTTCGTGCCCAAGAGATACTTAAAGTAATTGCATCCTTGAAATTGCACTGTCATCACTTTATGTTTCTGATGATGTCGTGGAACAGCGCCAAAGACTAGGTTATGCTCAGCATTTTTTCTCGTGTCTCCATTGCTATTATATTAATATGATTCCATTTGCAAATCTGCAATGTTTTATAGTATTTTTGCAATAAAAAGAGAGATATCTAAACCATAGCCTGTTAAATAAAATGCATACAGTTTTAATAAGGTCAAACTAACACATATTAAAATGTTCCAGAGAGATGTGTGGGCACCATGAAATATATCTTGCATTATTTTTTTTTTTTTAGGAAAGCAGGTAGGAGATTACTGCAATAATGAGAGAGAGAGAGAGAGAGAGACAAACACAATACTTCACATTCCAAAAGTTTCACTTCCTCTTCAAATATACGCTTCTAACTTCTTTCTGATATTTATCTATATTCGCAAGAGTGTAATCTCATCTTTTTGCACAATGATGTCATTACTTACCAGTCTACTCACAAAATTAAATTACTACAGATCCACAAATATTCTCTACACATCTGATTGTAGTAAGAAATCAGTGTTAAGTCCAAGCTGCTAAAAGTTACTCCTTATTTAGTACCATAAATTGACAAATATTCATTGATTGCTATCATCATACTTAAATGCTTTTTGCATATTGGTGAATCAAAATAAAAATGGCTACTACCCAACAAAAATAGCTTGCTATTGCTGCTTGCTACTATTAAGCCTTATGGGTCGGCTTATAATGACAAAGTGGTTTGAAAAACACTTTTGCCTTATTTTAAAATATTACTCTACTTTTATACATGGTATGAACTTTAAAGTATTTGAAAATACCTTATTGAATATTTCAAAGTATGAAAATAGAGAATTTCTGTAGAGAATTATTTTGTAAATATCTCTCTTGGGGAGGAAATAAGTGATTATTTAAATACGCCATATACAAAATCACAAATTGTTTCATTAAAATTTAATAAATGGAAACCTAGTTCCACATTCTATGTTTCCAATAATAGTTCCAACAAGACTGTTTCAGCCTTCTAACATCTGAGTACAAAGAAATTTGGTAAACCCTCCTTCGAGTTGTGAAAAGTTGATGCAGCATACCAAACTTCACCTCAAGAACACAGAATCATTCTTGTGGGCGGCGAGCTATTGCTTCAAAACAACCAGGGTTTAAATTACTCTGTACTCAGACCCTCAAGTCTGCACAGATTTTAAAAAATGACCAAAAAAAACCCCTTAGACCTCAAAGGATAAAAATCACAAATCAGTTTACAGATGCTAAATTCCAATTGAATTTAATAATCAAAGGTGATTAAATTATTCCTAAGAAAGTATAACTAAATAAGTGTTTAATATCAAATAAAGATAATTTATGAGAAATCAAATAGATCATGTTCAGTTAAATAGAAATTTTCCAGATGTCACTTTCAAGATGCCTATGAATAGTAAGTAAACACAGCAAAAGCTTTGGAATATTTAACACAAAAATAGAACACAAAATGAAGCTCCATCACTCAATAAAAATTTGTTTTTCCTTTAGATAGCCTTTTGCTTTCTATGCAAACTGTATGTCATATAAACAAGAATATACTAAAAGGTGATTTAAGTCACTTAAATATTTGTTTTAAAAAGCATCTTATATCTTAAGTATGGTTTCTGCTGTTTATTCATTTGCATCGGTAACTCTGATAAACACAAAGGCGTCAAATATTTAATGTGTACAATCAGATGAATTGAGATAACAAACTTTTCATCATTAGAGAAGAAAAGAATTTAATGCCACAGCTTCTGTAACAACCTGGGGAAAAAAAGAGAAAGTTGAACAACAACCACAATATTTTTAAATTCTATTTTGAAGATGTAGAATATCACAAATTCCTTGGGGGGAGATCAGTAACGATTAAGCTTAATCTGCCAGTTTGTAAAGGTCAGACTTCACAGCCAATTAAGTTGCTGTCATCTGTCCTGCTTCTACATGTAGTGACACCTGTTGTGCAGATGCACAAAATGTGAAAACGATTACTAATGCTGTTCACGCTGTATGAAAAAGTCATTTGCCCTTAAAAATATACCCACAGACATCCAGCAGATATATATTGATAACTCTTGAATTGAGACAGCAAGGGATTCCAAGAAGGGTAGCAAAGTTGCAGCTTCATGTTAAGCCCTTTCGGATGCTTCACCATTAAGAACTATTGCGTGATGGGAAGTAGCATTCTGCTCCTAAAACCGTATTATGAATACCGAAAGATGTGGAAGGAAGGAAGGAAGGAAGGAAAAGAAGAAGGAAAGAAAGAAAGAAAGAAAGAAAGAAAGAAAGAAAGAAAGAAAGAAAGAAAGAAAGGAAGGAAGGAAGGAAGGAAGGAAGGAAGGAAGGAAGGAAGGAAGGAAGGAAGGAAGGAAGGAAGGAAGGAAGGAAAGAAGGAAGAAAGAAATAAAGAAAAGAAATTTGCATTATTTAAAGCATCAATCAAATTGAAAACAAAAATTACAGCAAGCACTGGGCAGCGTGCCAAATTTGATCAACTGACATTACATTGATTCAGAACGAAATTTGCGGTGCACCTACTGTGTGCACATACCAGCAGTTGCTATCAAGCACACCATAGCCCAACTCCAGCTAACTTCATGTTCTGAGAAGTTTTCAGATTGGAGTAAGGCATAAAAGGCCAAAGGCATCTTTGCACAATGCTGGACCCCACCCCCGCCTCTCTCTTCTCTCTGCCAGGCCTGCAGAGAACAAAGGCTGATGATGCCCAGGCTACAGTGAGGGAACCACAGCGAGATAGTCTGTTCTCAGAAATCAACCTGATGAAAACGATGCGGTGGGCGCCTGAAGTCCCGTTAGACCAACAGGGGGTAGCATTTCTGCAGCGCCCCTTCTCTCCGGGTTCCGCCCTACCCCGCCCCTTTGCAGGTGCTCAGCTATGCTTTGGGATTAACCACCCCCCAATCCGCCTCTGCCCCCTGCAAAAAAAAAAAAAAAAAAAAAAAGCAACAACAACAACAACAACTGGAATTAATTCCTGGGAATGCCTGAAATGCGCAAGATAAAGCGGAGTCTCTCTTGTTCCGCATCCACAAACAAGGCACTTGAGGAAAAAAATAAACTTTAATCTGTGCGTGTTTGGAAAGAGAAGCACAAAAAATAACAAGTTCTTTCCCACTCCCTACTCACCCCTGGAGGGCTTCCCCCAAACAGCCTGCCCCGTAGCACCTCCAAGAACCCCTCGCACGTGTCCACCCAGCGAGCAGCCCCTAACTTACCGCTCACCACCCGGCGGCCGAGGGTTCCGTGGCCGCAGAGCAGCGCGGCGCTCAGCAGCAGTGAAACCACGCGGATCATTGCGGGCGGCGGAAGCAGCAGGTGTTGCGTGGAGCAAAGACGGTGTCCGTCTTAGGCTCTGCCTGGGACTTCTAATCCCTCTGCCTTCCTTGCTCTTCTGCACGGGGACCTACTCCTGTAGCAGCAGCTCTGCAGCCCCAGCCCCTGCACGCATCACTGTGGGTGCCGGCCTGTCTCGGGGCGCGTTTGTGCCATGCGCTGGCGTGCCGGGTTTAGAGTGCGGAACTTCCCCGAGGCGCTTTAAGGACTGAAAAAAATGGGAATTACGGACTCCGGACTCTGATGCCTGCGGCTGGAGTAAAGCAGGAGCCCGGGACTGGCTCTCACCCTGTGCTTCTCTCCCTGGTCTCCAGCTATTAAGGGGCTGAGCTAGTTGGACTGGTCCCGGCTGTATCAGCAGCAGCAGCCACAGCTGCTCTGCGCTGGAGGCGCGGTCTTAAATACTCTCATCCGAGGGTCCGTCCCCTCACTAGTAAAAAATGTTAACCGCTTCGTCGCTTCTGCCAAGTAGAGCATCCCGGCCCCTCCCATAAAAACTGAAGCTACTTTGAAAGCCTTCCAGTCAGCAGTCCAATCTCCTCTCTCCTGTCTCTTCTTCCCATTTTGCTCAGGCTTGGTGCTCGTTTGTGTAAAATGTGACAGCTTTGCTATTAAACTCTGGCAAAAGTTGGATCCATTTGGTTTTCTCAAAGATGAATGTCCACAGAGATGCCAACTTTCTGAGGCTTTATTTTTTTTTTTTTCTTGTGCTAAATTGCTTGATGGCTTGCGTGTGTTGCAAGATTCAGGGCAGTGACCACTATTTAAGATGGATTGGTGGACAGGAGCCAAAAGCTGTTCAGTGAATTATATAATATGGCAGATCCCACCCCCCCACACCAGGTTCTGCACATTCCACGCAGGTTGTGTTATTAAGTTGCCACAGGAGCAAACTGAAGAAAATATTGGAAGCATGATTTCCCCAACTGATTTCAAGCTCAGTATTTGCAACTTCAAAGGAAACCATCAACACAAAATAAATATTCTGAATTATTGAGAATTTCCTGGATATGAAATTCTGTGTTTCTTTGCAATTATCTGCCAGTATTCTATTGTCTATATTGGAAGTATAATACATTTTAAAACCTGTAGTTACACTTTCTACAACCTCATTGTTCTTTATCCTAACAAGCCATTCAGTGATTGTTTCATCCATGAGTTGTAGAATACTAAAAAGAATTTCCTGAGATTTTCATCTCCATCTGGTCCATGACATGATCCCCCATAATAGTCTTTTCTGCTGAACTAGAACCCTCCATTTTAATAGAGAATACTGGTATCCCAAGGTACCTTGTGTCCGTGAGAGCAGCTTGGTCTGGGGTCCACTGAAACAAATGTGACAAGATCATAAAACTGGCAGTAAAGATAGAGGTACATGGTTGTCATTTTGAGAGTGAACCGAATATAGAAGAGCTACCTTTGTCTTCTCTCTCTGTATTTCAAATAAAAAATAAAATAAAGTTCAGTATTTCCCCAAACATATTGACAAAAAACAATGGTGCCAAACCAACAGATAAAACAGTATGCTGGATATAAGGATGACTTGCATGTAAATTTACAGGGAATTGGGGTTAAAAAAGTACCTTACAAAAATCAATTTAAATATTCTCCTGGAGCTACATCTGTCACTTCACGTTTTTTTATGCACAGGCTCTAAGCATAACTTGCTCAGGTGCCAATTACATGACTATACTGCTTCAGAGTGAAATGGAAATTTTGGAAATAATACAGAACACACTGTCAGGTAACATATGCATGTCAACATTCATAAAACATTCATTCTCTATCCTCTAGATTACTTTTTTAGAAGTAAAATTATCGCTTGTTTATGACAGCTTAAATAATCTTGCATCCACAGAACCATTTTGAACTAAATTCATATCAAAAAGAAGGAAAACCAAGATGACAAAACCAGCTTATTCTGTCATAAAATCCTTTGTGTAAGAAATACATAAATATACCAGAAACGTAAAGAATCAATGCTATATTTCTTTGTAAGGTTTCTAATTTCCAAGAGTTCTAAACCACATTAGAAAGACAAGACATCACCATGAACATTTTAGCCAAATAATTGCAATCATCTATAATGCACGGGAGACCTTTAATGTAATACTCACAGAAATTAATAACTTTGATTTTAATTCTTTATAAAATAAAACAGTTATAATATTACACATGCATATGTGAAGGTTTTAAAAAATCTATTTTTTACTTATTTGGTTGGTAAGGTTACTGTGAAAAGATGAGGGGGAAGAGAAAGAGATATCTTTTATATATTGGTTTACTCCCCAACTTCACACAATGGCCAGGGTTGGGTCAGGTCAAAATCAGGAACCAGGAATTCCTTTCAGGTCTCCTACATGGGTGCAGGGGCTTAAGCACTTTAGGATTCTTCTATTGCATTCCTAGGTACATTAAGAGGGAGCTAAAATGAAAGTGGAGATATTGGATGGCCAATCAACAATCATAGAGATTGCCAGTTTTGCAGATGGAGACTTAGTTTGCTACCCCAGAATGCCAAATCCAAATGCAAAGTTCTTAATGAAGGATGAGAATACTAATTTTGAAGAAGGATTAATAAGCTCTTCTACACAGAGTTTCATTACCATATACCTTTAAAGAATTTTGAAAACTCCCTTGACAGTGTCATGGAGAATAGAGATACGCTTCAATATTCTGGCATCCTAATCCCACCACCACACAGCAACCTCTATCTATTAAAACCATATCCCAACACATATCTTCCTAAAAAGCAGGAGGCCCACAAAACTCCAGCATCTTCTCCCAGCCTCTGAACTCTTTTCTTGGATTCAGGAGGACAGCTCAGGGTCCTGAGAAGCCCTAAAACAACAACAAAACAGGAAAAGTCACTAGACTTTGTCTGCCTAGATCAGCAGAAAGGCCATTCCTGGCTGATAGTCTAAGGCCAACTCTACTTATCTTACCAGGTTATTTCTGCGATAGCGTCTGCTAGTCATTCAACAAAATTGCACTTATTCTGTTAAGTTGTGAATTCATTTGATTTATGTTCCTCTTTCTCCTCTAGATGAAAACGTATGGGCTAGCTTTATTCCCTCCCTGTACGTGATTGTATTTACCACCAACTCTTTATGTCACACATAAATCTCTGAATTAGTAAGATTTTTATTTTCACTTCTGTTAAGAGTTCTGAGCTTTTCCTTTTTCATTTTATGCTCCTAAGAGTGAGGTGGAAGGGCCAACGTCAGAGGTAGTGCTACTGCCTGTGGCACCAGAATCTCATACGGGCACCATTGTGAGACCTGGCTGCTCCATTTCTGAACCAGCTCACAGCTAATGTATCTGGAGAAGCAGAACATGGCTGAACGCTTGGGCTACTGCCACCCAAATGGGAAGCTTTGATACGAAATGCATTGTTCTTGAACCAACCTGTTATTGAGGCCACTTGAGGAACAACCCAGGAGATGGAAAATATCTCTCCCTCTCTATATCTCTCTCCTCCTCTCACTACAACTTCTTTCTCTGTATGACTCTGATTTTCAAATAAATAGATTTAGCCTTAAAAAAAAAAAGACAGTGAGGTAAATGAGATGGGACTAAGGATAAACTTCTAGCAATAATTGCAAGAGGGAGGACATTAAGGCACAGTATGTTAAGATCATGCTTGTGACACCTGCAGCTCATGTTGGAGTGTAATACAAGCCCTGGATTAGTGGTCTTCAAGCTTTAGGTTAGGCTCCCTATGAATGCATCCTGGGAAAGAACAGATGCTGACACAATTATTTGGGTCCTTGACATCCCTATAACATTCAGCTTGAAATCTGAGCTGCTGCTTTGGCCTGATCCAGTCATGGTTGTAGAGTGAACCAGTAAAAAGATCTCTTTCTTCTTCTTTCACTGTATCTTATTCTACCAGCTTGCCTATCAAGTAAGTGAAAATCAATACAAATTAACAAGCAAACAAAAAGATCTGCAACAGCACAGGAGGGGCATTCTTTTCCACACTAAAAAATTAATAGGGACTGATGAGATAGTGTGGCAGTTAAAGTCCTTGCCTTGAACGTACCGGATCCCATATGGGTGCCAATTCTAATCCCAGCAACCCCACTTCCCATCCAGCTCCCTGCCTGTAGCCTGGGAAAGCAGTCGAGGATGGCACAAAGCCTTGGGACCCTGCACCTGCATGGAAGTCCAGAAAGAAGCTCCTGGCTCCTGGCTTCGGATTGGCTAAGCTGCAACCATTGCTGAAACTTGGGGAGTGAATCATCGGACTGAAGATCTTCCCCTCTGTCTCTCTTCCCCTCTGTATATCTGACTTTCCAATAAAAATAAATAAAATCTTTAAAAAATTTAAAAATTAATATAAAGACAAAAGATTTCATGTTCTCTATGGATCTTTAATCACAAAACAATCACACTTGCCTCACCCACATCCCTTTTCCTTCCCTCCCCTCTATTCATGAGTTTTTACTACAATATAATTTTATGTATTTAATATTTACTGATTTGTATCTATAAGCAAACCTTACAGAGAAAGAGAGACCCACACTGAAAGATCTTCCATCTGCTGGTTCACTCCCACATTGCAGCAATGACCAGGGATGAGCTGATCCGAAGCTAGGATTCAGGAGCTTCTTGTAGGTCTCCGCTTGTAGGTGCAGGGTCTTAAAACTTCAGCCATCCTCCACTGCTTCTGCAGACCACAAGCAGGGAGTTGGATCTGAAATGGAGTAGCCAGGACACATGCTGGTTCCCACATGGGATTCTGGCTCCACAAGATGGAGGATTAGCTTGTTGTGCCAACATGATGGCCCCTACAACTGTAGGCTTAATTCACCGTAAACCGTAACTTTGAACAAGTAAAAATTAGGAAGGTCCAGTTTCACAGGAGTATAAACAAGGCCTATACATACAATCAGATACCAACGTGAACATTTTATTACTATACATTTTTATAGTCTGTTTTAATTGCTTCATATCATAGAAAACCTATGATATTTGTGCTTTTGAC